GTCAGCCATATTACCAAGAATTGGCCATAGATTTTCGATTGGATTCAAGTCAGGGCTATTTGCTGGCCACATGTCTTTCCTCCAGAAATGTGAAGTCTACTTTGCCTGCACCCTCTGGGTCTCTAGTACTGTATGAGCTGTGCCCCCGTCCTGCATTCAAAATAATGCTTTACACGTCCGGAACCTAGTTATTCTCCAACTTTCACCGGTTCACACAATTTTTTCCAATCTTTTGAATAGATATTACTTTAGGATATCCACTCTATAATATTCACCATTCGCTCGTTGAACCAGTGGTAAATAATGGAGGTCAGAGAGCCCTCCAAAAGACATTGGTCCTCTCACCATGACTGTAGGACTCAACTCTGGAACTTCAACATGCTCAACCATTTTACAACTTGGAGCTCAAATAACGTAATTGTTTTGTTTGGCGGATGAAACACTTCCTGCGGCGGTTCACCAGAAAAGACGACTTGTTTCCAGTCGTCTACAGCCCACCTGACACGCAAAGGCTTAGCGAGAGAAGACATGATGACTAAGCGCAGAGGCGATGGACGCGGACCACCACAAGTTTTATATTATATCTGCACTGTTGTACTGCACAGTAAAAATTGTGTACAAAGTTGGTTTACAAATAACCCGCCATCCAATGAGGTTGAGGAATACATAACAATTAGGACTGAATATTTAATTCTAGAGGAATTATTTGACCTTCAAAATGCGCAAATAATTGTAAGAAACCCCATTCAATATCAGACCAATGTACGCACTGGTTTCCTATAGGCACTGCATGACAAAAAAAAACTAATTGTATAACCTGCCCAGTAAGTAAAACAGGTGTGTTTAGGTTCAAACATGTGAGTCCTGTCATAGTGTGGGAACGAGGGGGACAAAGTTTGTTTGCAGAGCAAGACGGAGAGGAGTAGAAATGAGGACTTACAAGTCTGAGAGACAGTAGCTGTGCCGTCTTTGGCAACATCCGGCGCGGGTTCTGGCGCGGCTTCCTTTTCGTCCGTTTTTGTCGTGAGCTTTCTTTGACGACCATCGGCGCCCCACGCCAGGACACCTTTGCAGCTACTCTCTATCCCATTAACAATGCCCTTGAGAGCAGTCTGTATGTCAGCGGGACGAGGCCAAATCTCGAGAGCATTGCCGATCAGCCGCACATAGCAACGAACCAGAGGATGAGCCGGAATATTGGCTTTACAAGAGAGTGAAGATAAAACAAGAAAATCAGCAACTATCTTTTTGTCCGGCGATCAATTCAGATTACAAAATCCCTGCACTACCCTGACCACGTACATATTCTCGTGTTAGGCCTTTAACCAGGGTCTTTGACTGCGGGACTGACACCTGTCCAATGAGGTATCCTCTTTTCGGTACCTTGGTGTTACTCTAATCTTTCATTTACTCTTCATAGTTAAGCACTTTTCATTAAAGTTCGCAAACGTCTATATTATATCCTTCGGTTACGCTCATATCACACATACCTCAAGCCCTGATCTAGCGGTTTATAGATGCCTACATTCTCTTCCTCTTCCTTATCTACTGCTCCCCGGTTAGTTTTGCAGCCTTACCAATCAAGTGACTCCGTGTTATTACC